TCAGGTGCTTATTTGTTTCCATGAAAAAGGATTTCCTTGCAAGCAGTTTTCCCAGACAGCGGGGCTGGGAAGTGTGCATGCACACCACCAGGCAGACAGAAAGGTGACAGAAGGGGTTTTGGAGACCGATAAGGCCGTGTCCTGCACATCCTTCATGAGTGTGCTCTGCATTTCAGTTTGCTGGTAGAGACTACTGGAATTTTTATTCGTGATCATTTACTTTTCATCCTAATTTCAATCCTGTTACCATTACACCTGAAGCAGCCAAGCACTCATGTTCCCAGACTTCTTGTTCCTCTGCAGGGGCCCAACTGCAGGCAGGCCCTGACAAATCTACTCTGGCTGAAGCTGTTATTTCTGGTTTAACGTCCCTAAATTTGGGATGTCCTCCGAGAGCCTTCCCTCCAGAAGCTAGGGCAGCCCTTGTCTCTAGATAATCCCGTGCATGGAAATGCCTTCTGCTCCACATCCCCCAGCCGAGTCCCTGCAGGCCTGGGCTTGCAGCCACCGCCAAGCAATGGGTGCCCTGGGGGGGAGCGGGTGAGTGCTGGGCTGGGGGGGGACAAGCACTCGATGGTGTCACCCCCCCATCCTGGCTGCAAACGGGGGTCACGGCTTGAGGGTGTTTGTAGGGACGATTTATGAATGCAGCGTGGCAGTAGGGAAGAAGGGCCGGGCGGTTTTAACGGTGTTTGAGCAATCCCATCTGTTGTCAGAGCTGCAGTAGACACTGGGGAAGGGAATATTCGCGTTTGGACTTGGTGCCAAGGCTCTTCCCTGCACTGCGAGGGCTGTGAGCGATCAGCCCCACTGCTTTTACAGCTGTTCGCTCCTCCGTTCGGACTGCGTTCCTTGCAGAGCTGAGCAACTGTTGTTTCCAGCATGACACTACCGGTTCGTCCAGCCCCTGGGATTATCCAGCTGCTCGTCCACGCCGTTCCCGGATGGCTGACGGCCGAGCTGCAGGCATCCTGCTCCTCCTCCTCAGCTGGAGCTGACTTGGACCTGAAGGACCCACAGCCTCTTGGACCCTCTCTTGACATGAAAAGTCCATTTCTGCAAGGTATTGAGTGCCCGGCTCCCGGGGCTGGGTGAAAACCAGCTTTGGAGAGGTGGGATGCTGGCAGGCACAGGAGGATGTGCTCCCTCAGGCTGTGCATGCCTTATCTGCTCCCCAGTGAGCACGTCATTAAGGGTTTCTCTGCAGCTGCTGAGGTTTTGTTCTTGGCTCTGGCTCAGGCAAGGGCGGATCTGAATCGTCATTAGTGGCTCGGGTGGGAGAAAAGTCAGGGTGCACCCGCGAGCTCGCAGGGGTGAGCCTTCTCCCCGAAGGTCAGCTTTAGTTTGGTCTTATTTTATGTTTTTAAGCAGTGAGCTAAGAGCTGGACCCAAAGGTGTGCCAGTGCCTGAGTGCAGCATGCAGTGAGAAAGCAACCGTGGCTGTGTGCGGGAGAGCGTCCTGAGCCATCCTGGCTATGAGGCGATGGCATAAACCTGGACCCTGCTGGGACAAGAGGTTTTACCCCGTGCTTCTGGGGCTGGTGGGGGGCACGGGGGCAGTCCCCACTGCCGCCTTGCTGCTCCCCGTAATCCACAGGACGGGGACACGTGCACCCACAGCTTGCAGAGCCTTTAAGCTCCTCCTGTGATGAATGTGGCAGAAGGGCGAAGGATTACAGCTGTTCCTGGGCTTGGATGAATGAATAACGGCATTCAGGGTCCTTGTTGCGTGATAGCAGAGCAAGAACTATTTTAAGGCGGGGAGAAAGTTGATCAGACAACAACAATGACTCATCGCAGCCTAATTCTGCAAACGAGGGGCACGAGGCAAAGAGAACACCCCCTGTACCCCAAGTGTGCCCGTGCTTGTGCCAGGGCTGGCAGTTGGACACCACTTTTCTTCTTTCCTTTTTGGGAAATCCAAAGGATTTTGCTTTTCCTGGCACGTTCCCAGCCCCTCACTGACATCAGAGAAATAAGGGCAAGAATGTGCAGAGCCCCTTCCCTGTGCTGGCGACTGGGGATCCCGCTGCCCTCCCCACTGCTTACCTGAAGACACTGATGTGGTCGAGCAAGAATTGGAGAGGATCCTGAAAATACTGGTTTATCTTTTAAATTAATTCCTGCCAATGTCATGACTTGCTTTTCTCTGGATATTAAGTCATGTTGGTGTAATGGTTTGCATTTCTCTGGATGAGCAGCAGCACTTTAAAAGATGGGTTTAAAAGCCTGTATTTGGAGTATTGCATTGCTGTCAGTGCTGTTTGCCCATGGGGTGCACGGGGTGGCCCTGCTCTGTGCTGGGGGCACCAGCTGCACCTTGGTTTTGCCAAACGTGCCCTTCGCAGCAGTCTTCAGCTGTGCCTCAGGGGCTGGGAAGGTCCCAGCAGCACCACCCCGTGGGTTGTTTGAAGCCAGATATGCAGCAGTGCCTTTTCAGTGCATAAATATCTTGTCCCTGTCACTAATTTAGTTCATCATCTGACCAGAAGCTTTCAGTTCCTTGGCGCGTCGCTGCGCTCAGTCACGCTATCCAGCGTGGGCTGCAATTTCAGTGAATTGTCCCTGACTTTCATGTTGTGTGGACTATCGCCTTCCCCAGAACGGAGGCATTTGCATCAGGGGGAGCCGGTCCCTCCCTGGCTGGGCCAGGGGTTGCCAACGCCTGGCACATGGTGGGCTGGGGTCTTTGGCACCCGTAAATGGGATTTAAATGGGATTTCCTGGCCTTCATGGTTACAGGGAAGACCTTAAGTACACACTTAAAGGTCAAACGCTGGGAGACAAAGACCCCAATCACAGGTGCTTCTCGTTACTTTATAGCGCTCAGGATTTTTAAATAGTTCTGGGATTTCCAAGCACATTTCCTGATTTTTGGGGCTGTTTGTACTATTTGAGGTGTATGAGCTAGCACGGCATTTCTGAGCACTGCAGAAGTTTTCATCGTCATATTTGGATCATGTGCTTGCAGTGCATCCGATATGAGCGTCTTTTCCCCTTGATATCCAGGTTCTTTCCCCATCCTCTTGGAGTAGCCAAGCTCTTTTAAGGAGTGTGTGTACCCCATGAATGTGTTATAACTCAATTTAATATGTGACTAAACCAGCCACGCGATATTGCAATTAAATTATAGTACCAGAGGTGCGAACAATGCCAACTTTTTGCTGTGAATGAGTCATGGTAGCAGAGGAGGAACTGAGCAGCAGTATTTTATTAATTGACTCCTGCAGATTTATTCGTCCTTGGTGAACAGAGCCGGGCAGGGCTGTCGGAATTGTTCCTGCTCTGTGCCTGGCTCCTGGTGAGCAGGAGCCAATCCTGGGGATGGAGAAGCCTGAGTGAGCTGTTAAATGCGTTTTGTTAGTGAACGGGGAGCAAGCTGAGGGTTCCTGGTGCCGTTTCGAAATGGCCCCCGAGCCAGGCAGTGAACCTCTGGATGCTTTTCCATGAATGCCGTGGGGAAGGTGGGATCTCTGCGGGGCCATCAGGGCATGCTTGGGGTGCCCAGCCACCTTTCCTGCAGAGGTGTGTTTGGAGTGTGGGTACCCCATGACCCTCAGGAGCATCAGCTAGCAGGACCTGTGGCACCATGTCCAGCCCAGGGGCTGCTGCCCTGAGCCCGGGGGCAGGGTCTGGCCGGGCACTGGTGCTGGTGTTTGCGGGGGGCTGCCGTGTGGGCTCACCTGTGGGGCTCAGCGACACGCTCGGTGCATCTGAACGCAAGTACATCCAGGACTGCAAAAAAGTCAGGGAGGGAGAGCGGAGCAGGGATCGCTCCCCGTCCTCTGGAGGGAGGTGTCAGTAATTCCACAGAGCCAGAGCAGGGCTGGCCCCAGGGATGAAAATGAGGGTTAACCAGTGTTGCCAAAAGAAACCGTCTCCCAGAGTTCATGTCGAGTTTCCCAGGTTTTGCAAGTGTGTTTTGCCCTCAGAAACCCCTTGGAGCAGCTTGGGGCTGTGAGCCGGTGCGGCAGCTGAGGCTGGGCAAGCAATGGGGACGTGGCTGTCAGGAATGGCCTTGCCCTGAGAAGGGAGAGCCTGGGTGACCTTCAGAGGTGACTGCTCCGCTTAATGGCTTTGAATCTGATTATACTCTGTTTTTGCTAAGAAATGTGCTTGGCACATTCTTCTGAATTAAAGGCCATTTTAGGGACAGTTATCTTGAACTCTCTGCCTGCTGCTTAGGAGAAAGCCCTTGAAAATGATATTATGGATCAAAAGTGTTCCTGGGGTAATTCTGTTTCAACAGTGGAGTTAATCCAGAACTGAGTTTGGCCCTGCATTTCCAAATGAGAAGCAGTAGCTGTATAATCTGTTTATGGTTTTAAAGTGAATGTTAATCTTGGATTTGGTGGCTTTTCCCAAGGGTCGATTTGCCGTGCTGCAGAGGATTTTAGCCCCCTGCTCTGAAACACTCTGGACTGTCTCAATTTTTTATTTTAAAGAGATATTTTACTGTGTTTATAAATACATATCAAACCTGGAAATGTTAAATCTGAGGAGCGCTCGTCAGTAGAATTAATGCCACTTTTCTTACCTTGCATTTTGTTCATACAGCACGTGGCACGGCGCATCCGAGCTCCAGAGTGCACTGCAGGGTTGGGACATTCCCACGAGGACATGGTTGGATGGGTTGAATTGAACTGAACGTTCCCTGCTGAGACAGGGGCTCTCGCGGTGTCTCCAGGTGCTCTGTCCCGTGGGTGACTTTCTCACCTCTCCGCCCCGCAGGTGGGACGATGCTGCAGCGTGCTGGGGGCTGACACGCGGTGCCGCCAGCTGCGGGGAGCGGGACCCCTGCCGCCCACCCATGCTCCCCGCTGACTGCCGGGGCAGTGCCCCGTGACCAGCAGCGG